TAGTATTTTGGGGTCTAGAATGGGGGCCCCCCTATTTTGCGGAATTGCCATATGTACTCCAACTTCTAAGCCCCCAGAGTAGAAGTCGGTTGTTTTGAGGAAATCCCTCCAGAAGTCCGCCAGGGAGCTGGGTTGCGTGCTTGAATCTCAAAGCCATAACACGCGCCATCCTAGATAGCTGGGTCAAGGGGTAGGTTTTGCCCTAAACCCTATGTATCCCTGCATTGGATAAAAGCTAAAAGGCTTGCAAAAGGAGAACCCAGCAACACGGAAGTTCTCTACCAAACTGCCCGGCATCAACTCAGCCACGTACATGCCTCAGTCAAACGATCTAAGGGCATGTTGCAACACCGCACAACTAGCAGTGCAGCAGAGTCACTGTTCGGAACGGAAATGCCTGGGCCGTACTTTGAGCAAGCATGGAGGATGGGAGAGGGACAGAGAAGCCCAAAAGTTGTTGATCACAAAGAAAATGATTTCAACCACGATTCCAAAACCAGATCGCTACACCCGAAACCCTACACCGCAAACTCTGGACCCTACACGCCAGCCTTGAAACACTTATTACGAGATCTGTCCGGCCTTTAAGATTCTGCCGCCTAAGATGGCAGGGAGGATGATGGGATGAAACTCCCCTCCCCGACTAAAAACCACCCAAAACAAAGGCCCTCAACATAATACAAGTATTGACGAGGCCGTGCTCATGGGTATATCTGGGTATCAGTATGGCATTTGCCAGTTATATGTCTCTTGTTACCGCGAATGGGGAAAATCTTGCACCACCATGGACAAATTTTCCAAGACCCTACCCAATACTGGAAAAGCCAAACTTTGGGATACTAATCGGTGCTAGAAATCCTCCATCCACACCCTACACCCTAAACCGCACAGCCAATCGCTTATAGAGGATTTCGAATGAATATGGAAATACAGTATACCAAGGTCAATCGAGGTTGCTAATCTCGACAGTATCTAGACTGCTAACCATGCAACACCAGTGTCGCTTTCATTGTCCATCTTCTTGCAATTTGATACTTCTTAATGAGCTTGTGGTATCCCCTATATAATCCTTGTGCAACCCTATACAACCCCTATAGAACCTCGATATACGCCCTATGTATTCCTATAGAATGCTGTACAACCTCTATAGAACTAATCCTTATGGAAACCCATACAACCCCTATATGGAACCCTTACATCCCCTATAAAAGGAATCCAATATGACCCAGGTGCGCGCTGTGCGGCCTAAGCCCAAGCAGGCCGCTAGCTTCAGCTGCTCTGGCCATGAGGTCAAACGTCTTGGACACCTAATCTGGGATGCTGTTAAGGAACTTAAATTAAGTTACTATATTGGGGGAAACTCTATTATTTACTCTATATATATACCCATTATGGTAACTTAATTTACGTTCCTTAACAGCAACCCAG